GTAGTTCACTGTGAAGCACTGAGCCCGGGTCTAACCTGAACCACATGTTTATTTGAAATTCATTGTGGATTTGTTGCGTTTCTTTCCTGTAGAAGAACGGCTTCTAGTTAAAAAATATATATTTTGGACTTATTTGCATTTTTTCAAAGAGCATAATTTGAAAAAACGGTGGCATAATTTGGAAAAAAGAGCATAATGTTAGCATAATTTGGCCAAAATAAAAGCAATGCTACTAGCATAATATGCCACTTTTACTACCATAATCTATAAATGCCTAGCAGGGACTAGTCCCTTAAGGCGTTCACACAAGGGCACTTAATTTCACAAGAACATAGGAAAATTAAGATCCAAAAGATGTTTCTTAGTCTGGGGTGTTACACGAAAACAATGAAAATTTGGTAACTTTTCATTGTAGCACTATTAAACATAACGCAAATGAACTACACTTATTCAGTCGGATTATTCATGTTTTTAAGTGTTCCGTTTTTGTTTTGTTTTGTTTTTATTTTTAACAGACACAGAGTCAAATAGGGTAAAAATTCCATCAAAACGGCTCCAAGACATCTGTATATGTTTACAAAACTAGATATAGTTTTTTATTCTTCAGTTGTAGAAATCTAGAATTCAGGGAAAATTAATAGAAATTGCAATATTTACAAATACCGGAAGTCACGCAATCCCTTCTTCACGGTATTTTATTTCGACGGGAAAGCGGGAAAACAAGCCGTGACTGGTCGCACGAATTCAAACTGGTTTGAATTCGTGCGACCAGTCGCAGGGACTTGTCGCATGAAACAAATGTTTGTCCCTTCGTGTGAACTGTTTGTGCGACCAGTCCCTGCGATTAAACGGTAAATAAGCCAATCACGGGTCAGTAGGATGCGTGACTTCCGGTATTTGTAAATATTGCAGTTTCTATGAATTTTCCCTGACATCCAGATTTCTACAACTGAAGAATAAAAAACTATTTCTACTTTTGTAAACATATACAGATGTCTTGGAGCCGTTTTGATGGAATTTTTACCCTATTTGACTCTGTGTCTTTTAAAAATAATAATAAAAAAAAAAAACGGAACACGTAATAGCATGAATAATCCGACTGAATAAGTGTAGTTCGTTTGCGTTGATCTTTAATAGTGCTACAATGAAAAGTTACCAAATTTTAATTGTTTTCGTGTAACGCTCCAGACTAAGAAACATCTTTTGCCTCTTAATTTTCCTATGTTCTTGTGCAATTGAGTGCCCTAGTGTGAACGCCTTAAGAGACTAGTCTAGGCATTTATAGATTATGGTAGTAAAAGTGGCATATTATGCTAGTAGCATTGCTTTTTTTTTTGGCCAAATTATGCTAACATTATGCTCTTTTTTCCAAATTATGCCACCGTTTTTTTAAATTATGCTCTTTGAAAAAATGCAAATAAGTCCAAAATATATATTTTTTAACTAGAAGCCGTTCTTCTACAGGAAAGAAACGCAACAAATCCACAATGAATTTCAAAGAAACATGTAGTTCAGGTTAGACCCGGGCTCAGTGCTTCACAGTGAACTACAAATGCTACTAGTTTAACTAAAACTTTAAATATCGATTAAGGTCACCAAGTGCTTGGGACTAGAGACAAAAAATTATCAAATAATGGCATCAAAAATGAACTGATAATTATCAAAATGCGCAAGTTATGCTAGCATTGCTACTTGGCAGAAATTATGCCAGTTTGCTCGAATTATGCCAAAAATTATGCTAGCATAATCTATAAATGCCTAGACTAGTCCCTGCTACCGGTCCCCTCGTGTAAACCCTTCAAAGACTTGTCGCCGGGAGTAGTCGTACGGACTAGTCGCAGGGACTAGTCCCCTCGTGTGTGCCGACCTTTAGGTTCATGCGACCAGTCGCAGGGACCAAATTTTGGTCTCTGCGACCACAGAAACGTGTAGTTCACACGAAGGGACTAGTTGCATGAAACTGGTCGCTGGGAGTAGTC